GGGGGGGGTCCACAGAGGCTCTGGGGCAGCTTGGGACCCTCAAAGCTCGCCGCAGAATCCTGACCCAAGATTCCCCGCAGGAAAATATTAAAGACGCCTACGGCGAATCACCGCCGCCCCCCTGCCTTTTGGAGTCACCCATGTGGCCGAGCGCTGTGGCAAGAGGTCTGTCAAGGAATCGGACTATGTGTTCCCCCAGCCGTTGTGGAAACCCTTCGGGGAACATTCGGGGGAGGATGGCGGGGAAGACCAGGAGAAGGAGGAGGAGGAGGATGAGGAGGAGGAGGAGGAGGAGAAAGAGGAGGAGGAGGAAGAGGAGCAGTAGGACGAGGACTCTTGGAAGCTTCTTGGGGCACTCTTGGGGCCTCCTGTGAGCTTCCTGGGGGCCTCCTGGAGGCCTCTTGGGGGCCTCACTGGGCCTCTTGGGGGCCTCATTGGGCCTCTTGGGAGCCTTTGGGGGTTTCTTGGGGGCCTCTTTGGCCGTCTGAATTAAGGCGTTCCTGAATTGTCTGACGCTGTCGGAGGCCGTCTTGGGGGCCTCTCTGAACCGACTTGGGGCCCTCATGGGGTGCTTCACGGCCGTCTTGGAAGCCATGTTGGGCGTCTCGGAGGCCTCTTGGGCCGTCTTGGGGCCGTCTTCGAGGCCTCCTTGGTCGTTATGAAGCCATCTTGGAGGCCGCAAGGGCCATCTGGAGACGATCTCGGGGGCCTCTTGGGCTGTCTTGGGCCGTTCGAAGGCCGGAAATACGCAAATGCCAACATCCGTTAAACACCTACGGATAATCAATGAGTTTGGCCTCTTCGGGCTTTCCTGGAAGACCTCTTGGTGGCCTCTTGGGCCGTCTTTGAGGCCTCTCGTATGCCGTCATCTTGAGGCTATCTTGGGCCGTCTTGGAGGCTTCTTGGGCAAACTTGGAGGCATCTTGGACGCTCTGGGGCAGTCTTGGAGGCCATCGTGGACCATCGTGGGCGAACGTGAGGGCCATCTTGGCCGTCTTGGAGGCCATCTTGGGCCATCTTCGAGCCATCTGGAGCGGGAAAAACGTTTGCAACCACCTCTTCGCAAGCCTTCCAGGTGGCCAGCGGCATCGGGCGAAGCCCCAGGGGGAGTTCTAAAAGAGCCAAAAACTTTGGAAACCTGGCACGCCAGGCACCCCTGTGGCAAGCCAACAGGGGGCGGCGGATCTGATGGCCTTCGGCCCATCCTGCCACCCTGGATTGTGGGTCAGAGTCCTCAGGGATGCTTCTTGGGGTCTCTTCAGAGCGCTCGGGGGCCTCTTCGGAGCGCTCTCGGGGGCATCTTCGGGGCCTCTTGGAGGCCTCTTGGGAGGCTCTTGGGGGCCTCTTGGAACCCTGTGGGCCTCTTGGGGGCCTCTGGGGGCCTTTGGGGGCCTCTGGATCCTCTTGGGCGCCTCTTGGGCCTCCCGGGGACCTCTCGGCGCCGAGGGCTCGAAATGTCCGTTCGGGTCCCCCGTCTGGGCCCCCTCTTGGAGCCGTCTTGGGGGCCTCTTTGGCCGTCTTCGGAGGCTTCTTGGGCCGTCTTCGGGCCCTCTGAGGCGGTCTGGGGGCCCTCTTGGAGGCCTCTTGCCCCGTCTTGGGGCCATCTTGGGGGCCTCTTAAGCCGTGTTGGAGCGTCGGGAAGCCGAAAAGGCGCTAACGCCAGAATCTTTCAAAACCCAGCGGAAGATCAATCATTGTTGCCTCTGGGGGCTCTCTTGTAAAGTCTCTTGGAGGCCTCTTGGGGCGTCTTGTGGGCATCTTGGGCCGTCTTGAGACTGTCTTGCGCATCTTGGATTGATCGTGCGGCGACTCGGGGCCCCCTTGGACCATCTTGGGCGCCTCTTGGGCCTTTGGGGCCCGTCTGAGGACCCTCCTTGGGGCCGAACAAGTCATGCGGGAAGACGCCCCGGACCCCAGGGGGCACGCCGGGAACCCCAAGAGATTTGGCAATTTCGGGTCCAGGCCCCTGAGAGAATCCCCTGCGTGGAAGACTGGGGCTTGAGGGACTAGGCCAAGGACCTGAGGACACTCCAACTCGTGCCTCAGGGCGCCGTGGTGGATCATCGCGTGTGACTACCGTACCCTACGGGATCCTGTCCCTCTTTCCCTTTGTCTTTGGCAGAGGTCAGGCAAGCCCAGGATAAAGGCAAAGCAATCCAAACCACTGTGGAACGCTCTCAGGGCGCTCAGGAAAGGCCGCGGCGCCAGCTCCCAGAGACCTCAAGGTACCTCTGCCCGATGTTGCATTTACCCTGTCGTCGCCTTAAGCGAGGGTGCTGCATGGGTGGCCGACCTCTGGGAGGCTGCGCAGTTTGTTTCCCACGGCAGTCATCCACTTGTTGTCTCTCTCCTTCTCGTTGCCTCATCTTTCCCTTCTCTGTTTTCCCATTCCTCCTTCCTGCTGACTCCTCCTCTCCACTTCCCTCTCTCTCATCCCTCCTCTCCCCCTGACCTTCCCGGACACACGGCTCATGATGCGCTTGTCCCGCCAGGCGCAATT